AGAGAGAGAGAGAGAGAGAGAGAGAGAGAGAGAGAGAGAGAGAGAGAGAGAGAGAGAGAGAGTGTGTGTGTGTGGAGGGGTATTGCTTACTCCTAAAGGTTGTACTTAAAGAGAGACTCTTTTCCCACAGGGAAAGGTCGGTAGTGCTAAGGAGGCTGCAGCCTCCAACGTTGGAAAGCTGATCTGTGGTGGCTTCTAGCCTCTCTCTCCCTCACGCCTCCCATTCAAAACCAGGCTAGGCAAGACAAGTTTCTCACAGCCTTCCAGTCCTCACTCTTGTCTCAAACAGGATGTCAGAAACTCAGACTGGCCTCTAACTCGTGGCTATCTTCCTGCTCTGCCGCCTCTTCAGCACAACCTGCTACCCAAGAGAGGACCTAAGACAAGTAGAGCTTGGAGACGAGAGAGACAGACACAGCAGGTCCCTCTACAGAAGAGGCAAACTCACCAGGTCGTCTTTCCCTCCCTCCCTTCCTTCACTCTTTACTTTCTTTTTCCTTCTTTCCTTCCCCTCCCCTCCCTCTCCCATCTGTTTCTCTCCTCTTCCTCCTCCTTTTTTGGCAGTGTCTCATTATTCGGCCTAAGCTGTCCTTGAACTCATCACCCCCCCACACACCCACACACACACACACACCCCTCAGACCCTGGCATAGCTGGCCGAGAATAGACGGGAGTGCACGCGTCCCCTCCTTTTTCATAGAAATTTCCATGTAGCCGTGTTCCCCAGCCCTGTGCTTATGTAACCAATTTTTTTGGAACCTAAAGCACAGGCTTTAGCACTCAGCCCTGGTGAATTTCATCTTGTTGGTCTCGGCCCAACTCTACAATCTGTCGGGGCTGCCTCAAATCTGCTTCTCCTGCCCAATGCATGGCCGCTCTGACCATGGAAGCCAGGGGCCCTCTGTGGGGCAGACAGGCGGCTGCCACCTCCACTCAAGGAACTCCTGATAGATGCCGCCCTCCTAGCCGCCCCCTCAGTTTTATCGAAATCACTCAGGTGTAAATCTCAGCCACTACAGCCCGGCTGTACATTTCCCCTCACAAACGCCAAGTGCTTTGCTGGCTCAAGATAGGTGGTCGGGCTGCTGAGTCCCAATGACTGACTTGAGAGGAAATCTGGGGGGGTGTTCAATGACCACAGCTTAATCTTTACTTAAACAGTCACAGTCAGCCAAGTGGAAACCTGTTCTGGAACTTGCCATGCATGGCTGTCAAATCAGTTTTGTTTTGTTTTCAGAATTTACTATTTAAGTCCTCTGGGGTACAATGGAGTCTTAGCCCTTGGGAGAGGTCGCATCGAACTCAGTGTTCATGGCACAGGAGTGTCAGCTCACCTGCCGCCCCTCCCTCTCCAACAGACCAGTACCCTAGGGACGCCCTCCCCACCCTAGCCACAGTGTCCCTTCCTTGCCAGAACTTGTTCCCTGGTCGCTGGCAGAACCTTCTTTCCTGAACGCTTTGCCTCTCGCAGCTGTGTGGCTCCTTCGTTTCTCAGATCCCTGACTACCCTTTGGAATCTTTGGACTCCACCAGCTCCTCCTCTCCTCCGTCCTCTTCTCTCCTCCCATTTCCCCCTCTTCTCTTCTCTTCTCCCTTCTCCTCACCCCATTCCCCTCCTCTTTCTCTGTCTTTCTCCCCACCCTCAATACTGTAGACTGTACTCAGGATCTTGAACATACTAGGCTCTCAGCTTTCTTTTTGTTTGTTTTGTTTTGTTTTTGAGTCAGTGTTTTTCTGTGTAGTCTTCTTGGTCATCCTAGATTCTATTTGTAGACCAGGCTGGCCTCAAACTCAATGAGATTTGCCTGCCTCTGCCTCCCTGAGTGCTGGGAGTGCATCACCGAACCCTGCTTTCTTACCTTTTTTTTTTTTTCAATGTGGTAGAAATAATGGCCTTTATTAGGAAAGAATGGGAGTGGGGTAGTATGCTGGGGAAAGGCATTGTCTTAGTCAGGGATCAAAACACCATGACCGAACAGCAAGTTGGGGAGGACAAGGTTATTTGGCTTAAACTTCTAGATCACAGTCCATCCCTGGAGGAAGACAGGACAGGTACTCAAACAAGACCAGAACCTGGAGACAGGAGCTGGTGCAGAGCCCATGGAGGGGTGCTTCCTACTAGCTTGTGTCAAGTTGATATACAAAACCAGCCAGTACAGGCATACATTCAAAGCCCTTCTTTTTGGAACAGAATCTAATGTAGCCTAGACTGCGGCCTCAAACTCTCAAACTCACTCATACCTTCGATCCTACTCTCTCCAGCTCATGAGTTTGGGTATAACAGGCAAGTTCTACCAGTCCTGGTTCACACAGTGTCACTCACTGACTGAACCCGACTAGGGCTTCCTTTTCCTGTGTACTAGGTAAATACCCTACAAACAGATCTACATCTCTAGCCATCATATATATATATATATATATATATATATATATATATATATATATATATATATATATATATATATGGATGTATATATTCTACAATTATATATTTATGTATATAGTTACTTTTTGACACAGCATCTCAAAACAAGCTTCCCAAGCTGTCCCTAGAATGCACTCTGTGAACTTGGGATCCTCCTGCCTCTACCTCCAGGATGCCTGGGATTATAAACCTGGCCTCTTCCCTCTATCTTCATTCCCAGCCCAGGCCACCAGGGACTACACTCTTATTTTTTTTGTTTGCTTCATTCATCTCCTTGAGTGTAGGTTCCATGGGATAGAGCCTAGCTCTGCTTACTGCTCATCCCGGCTTTAGAATAGTTGAAATAGTTCTAGCACATGCTGGGTGTTTAAAAACCATTTCTGGAACACGTGAACCAACACACCCCACGGGAGTCCAGAGGACAGCCTGACCTCTGCCCCCCACCTCCAATCCCCACAGCTGGAAAGCTCCCTTCTACAGCCCAGCCCCTTTCCTAGCAGAAGACCTGTCTCCTCAGAAGGCTCAGCATCAGGGCTGATGGACAGCATCTGCCCCTGCCTGGCATGGCACCTTCCTCCTGGAGCTGAGCCCAGCTGGCTTTCTTCTGCCCCTCTTCCTTTAGAACAGTGCGTTAAAGGTCTTTGTTGGGGGAAGGACAGGGAAGGTGCAAACGTCATTTTCCCAAGTCTTGGAATATTTTGAGGTTTGTCCCTCCAAAACAATGTAAAATGCACAGCTTAAAGCTGCCCAATCATGGAGCCAGGCATTATGGCTCATGCCTTTAATTCTGGTACCTGGGAAGTTGAAGTGGATTGCTCTCTGAGTTCGAGGCCAGTTTGGTCTACACAGTGAGCTCCGGCCCAGCCAGGTCTACATAGTGAGATTCTGTCTCAAAACAAAACAAGCCACCAAAAAAGCAGTAATCCCAGCACTTGGGGAGGCACAGGGAGGTGGATCTGTGAGTTCCAGGCCAGCCTGGTCTACAAATCAAGTACAGAACAGCCAAGGCAGAGAAACGTTGCCTCTAAAACAAAAAAACAAAACATCCCCCCTCAAAAAAAAAAAAAAAAAGATGCAAAGCTGCCTGCTAAGGATCCTGCATTTCTTCTCTGGTGCTCCTAACCTCCATCTCACTTCCCACTGAATCTCACAGGAGGCCCTTCCACCATTCCTCTCTTGCTTCCTCACACCCACCACCATACTCTAGTCCCTGGCAGCCATTTGCCACCTTGTTAGCACAGATTCACTCTGCTCAGAGAGCTACCAGTCTTAGTCCCTACAAATATCCCTCAGCTCCCCCCTTTAGCCTCAGACCCCGAGGCAGGCAGCACGGTGGATACCCACATCAAGCTGTTTATTAGGCAGTAGGAAAGGGGATGTGCCCAGTCCGCTGAGAAGGGAAGGAAGGCTCCATGGGATAGTTAGAAGCCGTGGAGTTCTGAGCAGGAGCAGCTGGCTGGAAGTAAGAGGGGCAGCAGGTACCCAGCCTCCCCACCAGGACCGAGCTCTGACATCCTCACTCTCCGTCTTCATCTTCTTCCAGAGGCGGTCGATTACGCTTGAAGAAACCAGCCTGGAGAGTGGAGGGGCACGGGAGCTGCGGTCAGGGCACAGGGACAGGGTACACAGAGAACCACCAAGAAAGCCTGCTGGGAGCCTGCTGCCCGGAAACCCATGAAGCAGAGCTGTACCCTAACCCTGCATCTGAGAAGTGGGATCATTAGTTCTTTTTTTAATTGAGAGATGTTTCCTCCACAAGCTTAAAATTTTATTCATTTATTTATTTATTTATCTATCTATCTATTTATTTATTTATTTATTTATTTATTTATTTATGTATGTGTGTGTGTTCATGTTTAGAGGTCAGAGGAAAACTTTCAAGAGTTGGTTCTGGGGAACTGAGAGACGGCTCAGAGGTTAAGAACACTGATTGTTCTTCTAAAGGTCCTGAGTTCAATTCCCAGCAACCACATGGTGGCTCACAACCATCTATAATGAGATCTGGTGCCCTCTTCTGGGGTGCAGGCACACATGCAGGCAGAACACTATATGTAATAAATAAACAAATCTTGAAAACAAATAAACAGAAAAAGAGTTGGTTCTGCCAGCTGGGTGATAATGGTTCATGCCTTTAGTGCCAGCACTCAGGAGGCAGAGGCAAGTGAATCTCTGAGTTCAAGGCCAGCCTGGTCTACAGAGCAAGTGAATAAGAACTTGGTTCTCTTCTACCACGTGGGTCCCAGGGTTAGAACTCAAGTCATTAGGCTTGATGACAAGTACCTTTACCCTTGAGCCATCTCAGTAGCCTCTGTTTTTTGTTGTTGTTGTTGTTTGTTTTGTTTTTTGAGACAAGATCTCAGGTAGCCCAGGCTGTCCTAGAACTTGCTGTGTAGCCTACACTCCCAAACACTTACAATTACATCTCTGTCACCATGCTTGGCTTTGATTTTTCCATCTCTTCATAACTCACGCGCATGTTCCCCAGCACACAGAAATGAGGGACCCTTTCAGAAACCCGGGGGTAGGGACTAGAGCAGAGATTCCCAACCTCTGGGTCACAACCTCTTTGGAAGTCTAATGACCCTTTCACCTAAGGGTCACCCAAGACCATTGGAAAACACAGATATTTACATTACAATTCATAAAAATGGCAAAAGTAATTTTACGGCTGGGGGTCAGCACCGCATGAGGACTATATTAAAGGGCTGCAGCGTCAGGAAGGTTGAGAACCACTGTTCTGGACTCTTCAGCTTCCCATCTCACTCAGGATGACAGGGCTGAATACTGTCACAATCAGCTTGAGCTGTCACTTTGACACAAACTTAAGTCACCAGGGAAGAGGGAACCTTAATTGAAAAATTACCCAGGTCAGCCGGGTATAATGGCACATGCCTTTAATCCAAGCACTCAGAAGTCAGAGGCAGGTGGATCTGTGAGTTCAAGGCCAGCCTGGTCTATAAATGGAGTCCAGGACAGCCAGGGCTACACAGAGAAACCCTGTCTCAAAAAATAAACAAAATTACCCAGGTCAGATTAGCCTGTGGCCATGCCTATGAGGCATTTTCTTTTTATAAAAATTTAATTTAATTTTTATTTTATGTGTATGGGCATTTTGATTTTGTCTGCATGTGTGTCTGTGTGCTACACGCATGCCTGGTACTAAAGAAACCCGAGGAAGCTGTCAGATCCCCTGGAACTAGAGTTATACAGCCAACAAGTGGGTGCTGGAAGTGAACCCTGTTCTTCTGGAAGAGCAGCCAGTGCTCCTAGCCCATCCTTACAGCCCCTGTGAGACTTTTTGTTTTGTTTTGTGTGTATGTGTGTGTTTGAGACAGGGTTTTCTCTGTGTAGCCTTGGCTATCCTGGACTCCATTTGTAGACCAGGCTGGCCTCGAACTCACAGATCCACCTGCCTCTGCCTCCCTGAGTGCTGGGATTACAGGTAGTCACCTGGCCCCTCCCGGCCCTGGGTGACATTTTCTTAATTGCTAATGATGTAAGGGCCCAGCCCTCTATGAGTGGGGCCATCCCTTGCCCATTGGCCCGGGACTGTACAAGAAAGCAGGCAAGGAAGCGAGCCTGTAAGCAGCTGTCTTTCAAGATCTTTTCTTCAGTTCCTGCCTCCAAGTTCCTGCTGTGGCTTCTCTCGTTGACTGGAAAGCGTAAAATAAAATAAACCCTTTCCTCCCCACGTTTCCCTTAGACCAAGGACAGACAGGAGGCCAGCCCTGCCCACAGCAGTCAGGAAATTCTGAGGGTATGTCTCAGTTTCCTCTGACTTCCTCACGGTGGGGGAAGGGGTCTGAAGGCCTGTGGATTTCAGGCGTCCTGCTTAGGGGGAATGGGAGGGACGGGACGGTACATGCTCAGCACAAGTCCTCAGAAAAATGACATCCTAATAGCGGGTATGGAGACCACACAGGTCCTATATCCTGTGTCCCCCTGTCTCCTAGTCTGTGATCACCTGGGAACAATGTGCCCCCTTTCCAGCCTCACCTTCCACATGGCCAAAACTAGCAGGGTCAGCAGCAGCAGACCGCCTAGTACGCCCACCAGCACACACCAGGTAGGAACGGCCCTCTCCTCCAAGGCCCGAAGCAGCTCTGTCTGCACCTGAGGGCAAACCGGATGTCCCTTAAGGGGGCCCGTGAGCGGGGAGAAGGATGCCCAGCCGAGCCATCTCCTAGTAACCAGACCTCAGCCTCCCGGAGACCCCGCCCCTCAAGCTCAGCCGTCAATCCACGGAGACCCCGCCCCGGCCCTCAGCCCTGGAGAGGCCCTGCCCCAGGCTGGCTGGGCGTTGACAGAGAACTGGGTTGCTCACCAGAGCTTGCCCGCTGGGCAGGCTGAGCGCCGGCACGGAGTAAGGTAGGGAGGAGACGTTGAACCAGGCGTGTGACTGCAGCACAAACTGCTCCTGAGGCCTCTGCGGGGGATGGGGGTGACAGTCGCTTACCGCAGCCACTCCAGGACTGGGTGGCCGCAATCCAAGCCCCGGATTCCCCGATTCTGAGTTTTGTCGGGGGTTTTACCCCGCCCCCGCCCCAAGGTAAATCCTCCCAAGGCTTGTATGAACCAGCTCAAGCCCAGAGCAAATTCCTGCCCCGCCCCACAGGCCCCGCCCGCCCGCATCTAGCCCCACCTGGCGGAGGCTGGACATCCCCAGCATGGCTTGCACCGTGACCATGGCCCGCTGCCCACGCACCATCTCCTGCAGCTCACACTCCACCACCATACATGGCGCTGTGCCGTCGCAGCTCTGAGGGAGACGTATCCTAAGTCCCCAGGCCCTCCTGCTAATCATCCCCCATCAGTCAAGGCCCCAACCCAGAGAGCCAGGAAGGTCAGGCCTGTCTCTAGCCGAGCTTCAGGTGTTTGCTCAACAGTCCAGGGATACAGGGGCGAAGCCCGAAGGCAGGGGTCACGACCTGTGGTACTCGATGTTTTTGTGACATGTGACATTGCTTTGGCATTTCTTTCTTTCTCTCTCCCTTGTTTGTTTTTTTGTTTGTCCTAGAACTCAATCTGTAGACAAGGCTGGCCTAGAACTCAGAGATGTACCTGTCTGGCTGGGATTAAAGGCGTGCGCTACCACTGCTTGGCCCTTTTTGGTATTTCTTCAGAGGAAAAGAAAGGAAGAAAGGAAGGAAGGAAAGATGGAAGGAAGAGAGAAAGAAAGGGAAGGAAGGAAAAGAGGGAAAGGAAACCCCACTCTGCCAAGCGCCAGCCCAGCCTCTCATCCACACAGCTCTCCCTGCCTCCCATCTCCCTGACTCCCGAGGGCCCCAGCTGGATCCCACTGAGCTTCTCACCACCCGAACTGGGTCCCGCTCCCCTGGCTGCTTGGGCTGCTGCAGGACAGCCTCTCTGCGGTCACGACTGGGATGGGCCCAGCTAGTGGGAGAAGGGCTGGCAGTGGGTACCCTCCAGTCCACCTGGGGGGTGGGGGGGACAGGGAGACAAGAGCATGGTCAGTTGGCTTCCAGGGTCTGCACCCACACCCTGCTCTGGCTGTTGGCCTGGCGAGCCTCACCTTGAGGGGATTGGGGGATGGCTCTGAAGAACAAAGGAGACCCCCCTGAGGCTGCACATTCAGGATGTAGAGCAGGTCCGAAGGCCGGGACTGGCCGGGAAGGTGGATGACCAGTCGGAGGCCATTCACGGTGCCAGGGCCATTGTTGTGGAGCTGGGGGTAGAGACAGTGGGTGGCGGTCTCGGCTGCCAGCCTGCAGCTCCCAGGACCTCAGCCCATGCTTCCCCAGAAGCGTCTCCCTACCTCATAAGTGTGTTCCACCCTGGGGACCCAGCTGCCCAAGCCAGCCTGCTCCTCGTCACCTTCTTCTGCGGCCACCACCAGGGAAGCAGGGAAGGAGTTCCTGCAAGTGCCCGAGGCCCCCAGAGCCCATCTGACTCCCTGGTGGACCTGTGGCGGGTCCTCCAGGACCCCTCAAACTTTACCCTTTTGTTTGATGAGATACTAGGGATGGGACCCAGGCAGGGCCTTCCACAGGCTAATTGTGGTACCCAAGTGACACCCCCACCTCCTCCTCGGAACAATAGAGGCCTCTCTGCCATTTCCCCTCCCTCAGCGGCTCTCACCCCCGAAGCTCCACTATGGCCTCAGCTCGGACTGCCACAGGCAACAGCACAACATTACTGTTTGGATTCTGGCTGTTCTTGCTGGAGGGGAGAAGGTGAGAAGAAAATAAAGGACAACAGGATTTTAGATGGCTCAGCATTAATCCCACTCCAGACAGCATAAGATCCTGAAGTTAGACCTGAGAGAGAGTGTCCCCTAGGACCCCAAGACTCAGGAATGAGTCACCGAGGAAGAAAGAGAGCACAGCTCTCGGGAAGGCCTTTCTGTGTGGAAGGGGTTCTGCATGAAGGTCAGATGGAGGAAGCATGGTAGGCTGCCCAGCTAGGTACCTCCTGACCTGCAGCTGGAAGGACACATACTGCCCGGCATCTTCCAGGTTCTCCACACTCACCAACATGGTGATGCCTATCTGGAAGAGGAAAATTCCACAGTCACCACCCCAGTGTCTTCTCTGTGCCCAGTCCCCCCTCACCCCTCAGGAACCTACCCACCCTAGGATGCAGCTAGAGTTAGGAGGCTTCCCGGCCACCACCCGAGCCATGCACACACCCTCCCCAGCTGTCCCTGGGTCCACACCATCCAGCCCTCTCACCCGGGTGTCCTTTTTCATGGGGTTGCCCAGCTCGCAAAGCGCCACCCTGGTCTCATTCTCCTTCTTCTGGGTGCAGATGAGCCTCTCAAAGCCCTGGAGGAGAGGTCCGCGGACAGGTGAAACAGAGCGGCCATGGGTGGCATGTCCGGCATGTCTGCAGGAGACTTGCTGGCCAGGCTTGGGGGAGGGTCCTGGGGGATCCCAAGGGACTGCCACCTTCTATTTCTGTATTGCTGTATCATTTTACTATTTTTAAAGGATTTTAATTTTAGAAATAAAAAAAAAAATTACCCAGAGTGACCTAGTTGCTAAAAATTACATCAACAGAATAAAGCCAAGCGTGGTGGCACATGCCTTTAATCCCAATGCTCAGGAGGCAGAGGCAGGTGGAACTCTGAGTTGGAGGCCAGCCTGGTCTACAGAGTTCTGGGACAGGCAAAGCTAGACAGAGAAACCCTGTCTCAAAAAACCAAACCAACTAACCAACCACCCAAATGAAAAAACAAGAGGAACGACACCTGAAGAACAGCACATAAGATAAACCCTTGCACAGCTGTGCACAGCTGTGCACAGATGCACACACCCGCACTCACAAACACTGAATTTAACTCAAAATGCTTTCCTACAAGTGCCTACCAACATTAGGGGGAAAACTAAGCCTGCAAATTGTATGTGGTGTGTGCGTGCGCGTGCGTGTTCGTGTGTGTGTGAATGTGGAACCAGAGGTTGATATTGGGAATCTTTCCCCAATAGCTGTGTCCTTACTGATTGAGACAGGGTCTCATGAATGTGGCTAGCCTGCCTGGCCAATGAGCTTTAGGGATATACCCCATCACCAAATCCCAGCACCCTAGGGTCCCCGGCTTACGCCACCATGCCTTACTTTCCTCATGGTTCTGGCGGAGCCAAACCCAGGCTCTCCACTTGGGTGAAAGGAACTTTTAGCAGCTGAGCCATCACCCCAGCAGATGCTAGTGTGACTCTAATTAATATTTGCTCGGTGGTTTTGTAACAGGGCTCTAGACCTCTGAACCTCTAAGCCAGTGCTTCTCGTAAGTACACCACACCCGCACACGTTGCGTCTGAAAGCTGAAGACTCCATACATCTTTATAGCAAAAGCGTAAGAGCGGTGGAGCTCTGGGTGGGAGGCGGGAGGCGGGGCTCTCACGCCTGCTGCCTGCTGCCTGTACCCCGGGGGTGGTGCCTCACCTCAACGTTGCTGAAAGCCCGCATGTAGTGGGCACCCGGAGGCAGGCGCACAGCCAGCTCCGCCTCATAGGCCCCCTCACCGTCATTGGCTGCCTCTATCTTCAGCTCCAACACATTGTCAGCACCAATGAGAAGCGGGGAGTCCCCCCTGTATGGGGAGAGGGTGCTTGGTTTAGGACTAGAGATGGCTCAGGTAAGGAGTGGGTCTCCCGGGATAGGGAGGGGCAAGGTGGGGTAGGGCGGGGGATCCTCTCACACGGTAGCTGTGAGCTGGAGCTCCGGCACGCACAGGTCATCTTCCCCACAGTCCAGGATGATCCGGGTCTACGGGACACAGGGGATGTGGGTGAGCTGAGGGGCTTATGAGGTCGAGGGGTTACCACAGAGCCCAGAGATGTTGAGAGTAGGTTTGGGGGTGATGCCAAAGTTCTGTGATAGTGGGGTTTATAAGTCTGCAACGATGTTTGGGGGACACTGAGATTTGGGGAATTTCATCGGGGCTTGGGGTGATTTCGAGGTTAGGGACTCGTGGCTTCAACTCCTTCCCCACGAGGCACCTTGCCCTCTTCTTGCTTGTCCCACTGTCCCTACCTGCTCCTGGACATGGGTTTCTCCATGCAACACCACGGCGGGTGCTACTCCAGTCTTCTCTGGGGACAGCGTCACATTGAGGCTTAGCACAATCGGACTCAGCTTGTCCCGGAAGTCAGCCTCGTCCTAGCAGAGGGCAAGAGCCTGGCTATCGCGTGGCTGTGCCCACAGCCTTTGCCGGAGTCCTAGGGCTGCTTGAACTGCATCCCCAGCTCCACCCATTCTAGCCTGAGCATACTCGAAGGAAGGCCATGGCGGTGTGGCAGATAGGTCTGTTTCTTCTGCCCAGGTCCAGGTTCAGGGTGAGGCTCGCCTGCTGGGACTCCAGAAGGAGCACCCGGCGGCCCTGGCGGGGCTTCTGCAGGTCCAGCTGCAGCTCTGCCTTTAGATCTGCAGGGCAAGCACGAAGGATCCCGGTTTCCCTCTAGCGGGGACACCCAGACCTCCCTTCCTACGGCCCTTCCCTCCACCCACTCACCCAGCCTCTGAGGAATGCTGTGCCCTGTGGCTCCCACACACATCTGGATGTTGAAGCTGCAAAGATGAGGGCAGGTTTTGTGGGTTGGGCCACCTCTCCAAAGTCCCAAACCCTGCCAAGTCTGTGACCTCCACCTCCTCACCAGCTGACCGGCGCCTGGGTCTGTTCCAGGACACAGTTCTTCAGTGTGGGGTTCAGTGAGTCTGGAACCATCAGGTGGACAGAGGCCATCACCACTGGTTTAGCTCTGATGGGAGCGGAGGAGACTCAGCACTGTGTCCCTCCCGACGTAGCCTCCTCTGATGAGGTGGCCCTTCCCCTACCTGGTGCTCACCTGTACACAGCCACCTTGCTAGCTCCATAAGCTCCCACTATCAGGTCTATAGACATAGAGAGAAGGGACAAAAGTGGCCATTAGAGGGGACATAGGGTGCGTCCTTATCTCCCCAAAAGTTCCCCACACTGTCAGCCCCTGGAGGTTCAAGGTGCCCTGCCCCCAAACCCAAGCATCCCAGCCACACAGACAAGTTAGAGCCCACAGCTGGCCCCGGGCCAGACATGGACCCCCAGCTGTGCGTCTCTGCACATTTCCAGCTTGAAGGCCTGTCTTGACTGGCTGGGTGCAACCCACAGGCACCTGGGTATCCATTGTCATCCACGTCTAGGGTACCACGAAGGGAGAAGCCAAAGGCAGAGCCTGCGGGGAAGGGACTGTCCAGGACCTGGGAGGGCTGTGGACTCAGCCCCTCACTCTGACCCAGGAACACCAGCACTTGTCCCCGACCACTGGGACCCCCATAGGGAGCAGCCACAGCAACATCTGGAAGGAGAGAGAAAGAGTGCGGCTGTTTGTGAGAAAGAGTGTGGCCTCTTCTCCAGGGAGGCCCTGGGAGGCCAAGAAGAGGGTGCCAAGTCTGTATCAATCAGTCAAGTATTAACAGATTATTATAAAAAGCTACAACAGTCCTCGCTGTCTACCAAGGAAAATGCACTGGTAATGCCTGGGCATGGTGGCTCACACCTTTATTCCCAGCACTCAGGGAGGCAGAGGCAGATGGGTCACTGTGTGTTCAAGGCTAGCCTGATCTACAAAGCAGTTCCAGGACAGCCAAAGCTAGGTAGAGAAGCTCTGTCTCAACAAACAAGCAAACAAAAGAAACATTTACTCCTGACCAAAACAAAACAACAACAACAAAAAAAACCCAAAACATAACAAACAAACATTTAGTCCTGACAATTGGATGCTTACTGTTTACTGTTACTGTTAATTTGCTACAAGGTTTTTGGTGTTGATGGTTTTTTTCTGAGATAGGATTTCTCTGTTTAGTTCTATGTAGATCAGGCTGGCCTCAGATTCTGAGACCTGCCTGCCTCTGCCTCCTGTGCTGGGATGAAAGGGTTCAGCACCACACTCCTGGACACAGGTTGGCATATGCCACAAACTAGCCTCTAATTATTTACATAGCTGAGTCACTTATTATAACCTTGAGCTTCTGGTCCTTCTGGCAGGGTTTATGCTGAGTGGAGGCTTTGTGTGTACTAGGCAAGCTCTCTGTTAGCTCAGTGACTTCCTTGTCCTATAAACTTCCGTTTTAGAAGGAAAAAAAAAAAAACTGAGTCCCAAAAGATTAAATAACTGAGACCAGGCTGGGGAAGAGAACGTCCTTGTACATGTGAGGTCCTGGAGTCAATGCCCAGTAATGGGAAAAAAAAGTTGGCTCTCACACTCCTTTACTCCCGGCACTCGGGAGGCAGAGGCAGGCGGAGCTCTGTTAGCCCGAGGCCAGCTTGATGTACAAAATGAGTTCCAGGCCAGCTGGGGCTGTGTAGCCAGACCCGGCTTCAAAACACAAAACAAAGCCAAAACGCAAATAAGTAAGAGCAAACTGAAACCTGTTCCCCAGATGTTAACCCTGTTTTACTTTCACCGTGCAAACAAGCTCACAGCCACATCATATTGACATCCATGACTTTAAGATGACTCAGCAGTTAACAGTTCTTCCAGAGGACCGGGGTTCAGTTCCCAGCAACCACATGGCAGCTCAAAACTGACTGTAACTCCAGTTCCAGAGGATTTGATACCCTCATACCAGTGCACATAAGATAAAATAAAATACCTTCCTTGAAAGTGTATCTGTTAGCATGAGCCTCATTTTATGGGTTCTTTGCATATATATGACTACTTTAGATCACGTCGTCTGTGTTTTAACTGTCTTCCCTTTGTTGTCTGATTTTGTTTACAGTATGTCATTGTGATTTGCTTCCTTTTTAAAAAATGTTTATTTATTTTATGTAGAAGTCTACTCTATCTGCATGTACACCTGCATGCCAGAAGAGGGCATCAGATCCCAGTATAGATGGTTGTGAGCCACCGAGTAGTTGCTGGGGGTCGAACTCAGGACCTCTGGAAGAGCAGACAGTGCTCTTAACCTCTGAGCCATCTCTCTGGCCCCCATTGTGATTTTCTTGATCATTATATACATAATTAAAAAATGTGTTTAATCCCAGCCCTTAAGGAAGAAGAGGCAGGTATAGTTCAAGGTCAGCCAGGTCTACACAGAGAGCTCCAGGCCAGCCAAGGCTACACAGTGAGACCCTGTCTCAAAAACAAAAAACAAAGCAAACAGAGGCCACTGACCACAGTGATACCCTCCAGTCCCATGGCCTCCTCTCTGCCCGACCTCGCTTGTTCTTCATGGATTTCATGAATGTTTGAGTCATTGTTCATTTCTTCAGCCTTCTTGCCCCATGGCCAGTTTTGGGTCAGCCTGGTCAGACTATCTGGAGCTAATTCAGCCCAGAGTTGCAAGAGACATGGAGCAGACAGGGCACTATGGCTTCCTGTTCTCCAGCCTCCTCCAGGACCCTTGGGGGATTCTCAACCATTTTTGGATTTCCCCATAATACCTGTTTCTAACTTTCTCCATTTTTTCCAAGCTGTCAGCTTTCCCCACTTCTGTCCTTTCCCCATGAGACCTTTGAGTCGGTATCTCTTGCCTCTGGATGGAGAGTCTGCATTCCCTGGCGGGCGTCACAGGGCCCCTGCGCGGGCTGGCCCCTCCAGGTCCCCATTTTCCTTGGCATTTATCACACCCCCATCCTGCCAAGGTCACAGCCCTATCCTTCCTCTTCCTTTCATAGTCACTGGTGAAAGAGCTGTCTGCATTGCCTGATGGGTGTTTCACCTCTCTTCAGATCCTGTCACCATCCCCAGTGGTCTTCTGGTTTATGTCCCTAGCAAAGCTGCCCTTTGTTAGTTGTTTTTGCTTTGTTCTATTTTGTTTTGTTTTGAGAGAGGGTTTAACGTATCCCAGGCTGGCCTCCAACCTCACATTAGCAGAGATGACCTTGGATTTCCCTTCCTGCTGCCCCTACTTCCTGAGGGGTGTGCGCCACCACACCTGGCCTGGCTTGGTTCTTGTCACTGCCACCAATGAGCTCATCCTTGCAGAAGCCCACGATATATTTACCCAGTGCCATCTAACTGTACCCGTCAGGAGTGCGGGGGCCACCAAGAGCACCCCTTCCTCCTGCTCAAACGACTCTTCTTAAGAGTTTTGAGCCACCAGTCTCATGGCCTCTCTCCCACCTGTCCGAACACTGCCCGTTTCCCAGTCACCTTCCCTGAATGTTCCCTAAATGCTTGCTCCCACGGTTCTATCTGGGCCTCTTCTTATCTCACAGGCTCCAGATCCCAACCCCTCCTCCACGTTCTCTACCCCGCCCCCAGCGGAAGTGGGCAAAGCCAATCACTGTAGTTCTCAGGATGTCTGCACTTAATTCTCCCCTCAAGCTCAGCCAGCTTCTTCCCTCCCACTCGATCCCCCTTTCTTTCCTCGCTTCATCCCCTTCCCCCAGCCCTAACAGTCCAAGCCCTAAATGCCTGTCAAGTCACCGTATCTCAACTCCCTTCTCCAAATCTGCCCACAGGCATCATCATGCTGGGATCTAGACTGTCCTAATTGGGTTCCTTGAACTCTGGTGTCCATTTTCCACTCAGCACCGGAGCCTCTCCTGGCTCCTGCTGCCCAGGGTCTCCCTCTGTGTCTCGGCCTCCTTCACAGTGGGACTTCAGGTGTGTCCCACTATCTTTTTGTTAGGGCCGTTAGCCCTCTCCACTCACCGTTATAACCATCTCGGTTGAGGTCACCCAGGGGCGCAATGGCGGATCCAAATCTCCCATAGAGCTGAGTGCCAGTCAGGAGGAGAGTGGGCGTGCCCAGAGCATGGGGCTCCCGAGGCTGGAGAAACAAGTACACGCGGCCCACCTCGGCCAGCGTCCAGTCTGCTCTGCTCTCAATGTACAGCGGAGCCCCCACCAGTAGGTCATGCCGCCTGTGGACCAGATGGGCAAGGTCAGGTGCAGCTGGCTAGGAAGACGCCGGAAGTGAAGGCGTTTCCGGACCACCCTTGGTAGAAGATGGAGTTGAGGATGCAACCGGGTGAGGGTGGGTGGGGGCGCTCCCTCTCCTCACCCGTCGCCGTTGACATCGGTGACTGCCACTGAATGCCCGAAATATGAAGCCACCTAGGAGATGAAGAGGATTTTAGTCTGCGCTTCGGCATCCTGTCACACCCCCACAACCCCGAGAACTATCCTGGGGGTGTGTCTCAATCCCCTGACTTCGGCCACGCCCATGAGGCCGCAGCCCCCACCTGCTCTCCCAGCAGCCGGTGCAGCGTCTGGCGGTAGGTGTTCAGAATTTCCACCTGCACGGAGGTCCACACCCATATGTGTGTCATTCATGCTTCGGCCTCCCACTCTCATTGAGAAAGGGCAGGGAGTTGGCAAGTGGGGAGGGTGGGGGGAGAACGAGGGGACTAGGGTCAGGGGCTTCAGAAGGCCAAGCCGTGGGAGACCCAGCACTCACCGCTCCCAAGGTCCGACTCCAGGTGGGGACACCCAGTACGTATTCTGGGGGGGGGGGGAGCAAGGCTCAGCAAATCAGACCCACTCCCTCCACCCTCAGCACCCGGGGAGACTGCCGGGCGGTTTCTCCCGCCCCAGGGCTCCCCACCCCCATTCCTTGCTTGCCTGTAGTGCTCAGATCCCCATCGAATTCGCCTACAGCCACCGAGTACCCTGCAGATACAGCACAGTTTAGCAGTTTCTGAGTAAAGCAAGTAGGAAGGAGCGTCATCGGCACCGAGGTTGTTAGTACCAACTGCAATCCGTTGTGCAGATGGGAAAACTGAGGCGAGCCTGAGCTCTCACTTGAGTCCAGGGCGAGCAAGTGTGGATGGGACTTGAACATGTGTGAGGAGAAGAGGCGGGAACCCAGGGCGGGGCGCCCCTGTGCTGGGGTTGACTAGCTAAGATTGGCATAGAGGCTCCAACAGGGGCAGGACCTGACTCAGGGTTTTGGGAGGCCTGGAAAGGGGATACCAGGCTTACCCCGGTAGGCGTGGTAGTTCACTAGGCTTATGGAGTCGAAGGTGAAGAGCTGTTTGGGAACATGCCACAAAAGGGTACCCGGGCGGTAGCTAGAGATGATATTCGCAATTGGAACCCGAGCCAGAAGACCTAGGAAGGGCACAAGGGACAGGAAATGTGGGGGCCCAGACTTCTGGGTCTCCCAAAACCGCTAGATGGGGAGGTGGGTTGGATTACTGAGCACATACCTGAAAAAAAGTAGCCGCCAGGGGCCCCAAGCACTAGCTCTCCAGCCTGAAAGGGAAGTCCTGGGCGTGAGAGGGTCCCCTTTTCTTGAACACCCCTAAACCGTTTTGCCTGCATTGGTATTTTCATAGTCATTTATTCTCATGTTCTCCACCCCCACCCCGTCTCCCTTTAAGAGGAGTCTCACGTTGTAGCACAGGCTTGCCTCAGACTTGATAGGTAGCCCAGGGTGACCCCCAAGTCGCCATCCCCCTGCCTCAGCCTCCAGGGGGCTTTCGCCTGCGACTTGCCTGGGTCACCGCCGCGCTGAAGCCGGCTTCACAGAGCCGCTTGTCTCCGCCTACGAGAGTGAAGCGGGGGTCAGCCAAGGGGTGGCTCCGGCCTGGAGTCCCGCGTGGGCAGGCGGGACTAAGGGAAGAGGAGGGATGGAGGGCGGGGCCCAGGGGGGCAGGGTGTACCCGAGGGGCGGGGTTTGAAGAGACAGGTGGGCGGAGCCAAAGGCGGACCAGCGCTTACCGTATATCTTGGAGTAAACGGAGCTCATGGTGTTGGCGCGACAGGGCGAGTACTCTGCGCGGCCGCCGCTTTGGAGCTGAGCCAGGAAGCAGCCACCCACCGGAGTCTTGTCTGACTCTTCGTCCTTTTCTAGGACATTCCAGTGCTGCCAGGGGGCGCAGCCCTAGAGCAGAGCCACAGGAGAGTGGGAAGGACGCAACATTCGGGCTTCCCCTAAAATGTCCCTGCCCTGGACTTGCTCCCTTTGACCCGTCTACAGTGCCCACCACAATGACGTCATTCCAGCTGACGACTGATGCCCCAAGTCCTTGTCCGGTCCTGAAGGTTTGGTAATATTGGAAGCCTTTGTGTTGCGTCTCATCTCCTGAACAGCACAAGAAAAGGTGACGGGCTGCAGAGCCCTGCCATCCGCTTCCAGCGGGCCCCCCTTCCCCTCCACGCATGAGACTCACTGAGGTCGAAGAACAGGGAGGTGCAGTTGCCGCCACTGGCCTTCCAGGGACACAGGAAGACCCCTCCGGTCTCATTCTGACTTGCACTGAGGGCCCTCGGGGCACCCACCACGATGGACACACTGTAGGAAAGCTGGGTGAGCACAGCTCAGGGTCTTTGTGTCTTTCCAGGTGCCCACTACCCTGGCAATACCTGAGAGGGGGTCTGACAGAGGAGAAACTGGACCATCTTTCCTCACGGGTAACATGGTCCAGAAGCTCAAGGGCTAGTTTCCAGCTCACAGGGCTCTGCTTCCTGAGTGCTGGGATGAAAGGTGTGCACCACCATTCCTGGCTTTGGTTTTGCTTTTAGAGTCAGGTTCTCTCTAGGGAACCCTGGCTGTCCTGGAACTCACTATATAGACTAGCAGGCTGGCCTCGAACTCACAGAGCTCTGCCTGCCTCTGCCTCCCATTAAAAGGGACTAAAGGAGAGTGGTGTGACACCCAGCTCAGGAGTTTCTATTTGTTTGGACAGAGTCTTGTTATGTGGCCCCGAGCGTTTAACTTGTGGTAGGCCTCCTGCCTCAGCCTCCCATGTATGGAGTTCCCAAGCGAGTGCCACCACAGTCAGCTACAGAAGCACCCTTTACAGTGGTCAAAGTTGAGACGACCCTAGTTCCCTTCCCCCTCCTGGAGAGAGTCCCTGGATGCAAGCCGTCTGAGTTTTGGTGAAATGGCGCTCTTAGGCAGAAGAGATAATTCTCTGCACCTGTCCTTGAGGACAGTCACTCTTACCCCCCGGGACCTGGGCATCCCAGGGTCCGTCCCAACAAGCCACTCGGCAGAGCACAGCCTGGAAGGTGAGCGGCGAGCCTAACCTTAGCAGTTTGATCTCAAAGCCCCACCAGTGCTGACAGTGATCTGTTACCTCTATTCACACATCTATAGTCTGGAAGGGGGTGGGGTCTGGGATGGAGAAAAGCGAGGTGCATTGAGCAGAGACTTGTAGCTTTGCCAGTCAGTTTAGGATGCGAAGAGGAGTTTCAAGTGCGTCATAACACTGACCCTCGGGCAGAAAGAAGATACCGCTTCTCCCTTTTCTGTTCAGTGTTCATCTTCCTAATTGGTAACCCTCCCCGGCACCCTCACTTCCCCCCCACCCCAGCACTCCTGACAAACAGACCCTGGAATCCACCTTGCTCAACTAGGAAATGAGAGGGCACCGAAGTGATGAAGGGGGCAGACCTCTCTCAAGACCCATATTTCCTCCAGTGCTCACCTCCCGTACTTGTCCTTATGAAAGTCCACTGAGAATCCAAAGTGGCTGCCATTGGGACCTGTATAGACGGTGAACTTCAGAGGGTCCAGGTTCAAGGCCCAGGCTGGAGGAACAGCACTAGGTCCCAGGAATAGTGGTGCCCACTGCAGAAGCCAGAGGGCATGCCGGGCACATGGAGATCTGGCCATCTTCCTTCTCCCCAAACCTCCCAAACAGGAATGGGTCAGCTCTCTCCCCTTCCCTAAAGTTCCCACCACAGGAAGTTTCGGCTTATCAGACTGGAGCTGGCTGAGCAGAGGGCAATAGCCCCTAGGTCATGTGGTCTCTAGGACTACCAGAAAGGGGGATGGTTGCTTGGGGCTAACAGCCATCTCCAAGTCCTTGTTGTTTCTGTTTCTCGGCTGCATCCCTTAAAATCTCTTTTTTTCTCCACTGTCACTCTGCTAGTCCTGCCGCCGTCCCTTTCTGCCTGGGAAAGGACAACTGTGAACTAATCGGCCTGCCCTACTTCATCACGGTCCGTAGCTGTGCGGCTCTCTCCTCCCCCGTGTAGCTGACTCTTCTGATCTTGAACACTGTGACTTGGCCAGAGGTGGAGGAAGGGGGAAGGAGGCTGCTCTTCCCTGATAAGAATTGAGGCTGCCATCATTCTGAGTAGGACATTTACCCACTTCCCCCTCCTCAAGCCGTTGGACAGCCTCAGCCAGCAGAATTTGTCCATCTTCACCTCTCCATCCTGAACCAGTATAGTGTTGGTGTGGCTGTACTGGTGCCTTCAGTACTGGGGAAAGGGTGATGAATGGATCTCGGCCTAAGTGGGGAGGAGATGCTAAAATGACATCATTCTGAGGTGCAATGTTCACAGTCTTTGAGACTAAGCACCAGCCGTTCAAGTGAACGGTTTCACTTCTTCTTGGTTGACAGTGTGTATAAATAAGTACTATGAAATAAATAAGTACATAAATAAAACCACCCAGAATGGGTTCCGGATGGAGTCACTGATTAGGGAAAACCCCCCAAGTCCTCAGGTAGGCACCTTGGCGTACCTCATGGGTACAGTACCTGATGACACGTTTTACTGGATTGAGTACCAAACCCTTGGAGAGCAAGGGTCCTTTCTGCTGGAAGGACCTCAGCAAGAGCCCAGCATGTAGTGTTGCTGGCTGAAGTCTTCCCAGAGGATGAAAGAAGCAAACAGCGACAAAGTGAAAAGGGTCAAATCCCTTGTAGAAAGGACATTTTCTACCTACAGATGAGGAAAACAGGAAAGTGCCGTTCCCTGCTGCTCTCGCATGCCTTTTGCCCCAAAGCAAAGAGATAAAGGAACAAAGTCACACCCTCCTTTTAGTCTGTATTTTTTTTTTCCTTCTCCTTTTCTGAAGTGCTAGGGATAGCCGCATGAATGCAGGACAAATGCTCTACTACCACTGAGCCGTCCCCAAGCTTGACCTTTATTGCTGATTAAATTAAGCCTTATCCTCCTTGGCCACCCTATTTTGAAGAACTGTTAACTTCTCCATTTCTCTCATACTTCACCTCAGCACGAAGCTAAACATTTTATCCTCACTAAGGAAAAGGCTCCTTGGATTTTACTCAGGGCTTTCTTCGCTGGTGTGTTCCCAGTGTGAAGTTCATGATAGATACGTAATGCAAACACCAGCATCTGCTCACGCTCTCTCTTCCCACTGTCCTCAGCTGAGGGGTTCTTGCATTACTGCTCTATTCTGTGTAGCCCCCGATGAACTCACACCACATTGTAGTTGTTTTGCCCTAAAAATGTTGAATCAACAGTTTAAAAATCTATTTGTGTATGTATCTGTGAGCATGTGTGCTGGGGCATGAGTACGGAGGTGACAACTTCTGAAAAGTGGTTTTCTTCTACCGTGTGGGTCACAGGAATTGAATTCCAGTCATCAGGCTTGGCAGCAAGTGCCTTGCCTTTACTCACAGAACCATCCCCCTGGCCTTGTTTCCCGCCCCCACACGCCCCTTTTTTGGTCTCTTTTAAAATTAGGGTCTCATTTAGCCCAGGTAGGCCTTAAACTTCTGACCTCCCACCTCCACCCTTGGAGTACTGAAATTACAGGAACGCCACCACCAACCCTGCTTTGTGCACTAGGGGAGTTTTTGTTTCGTTGTTTTTCAAGACAGGAGTTCTCTGTGCAGTCCTGGTTAACCTGAAACTCACTATGTAGACCAGGTTAACTTCAAACATAAAAAGATCTGCCAGCCTCTGCCTCCCAAGTGCTGGGTTTAAGAGCCTGTATCACTGGGGTTGGAGAGATGGCTCAGTGGTTAAGAGCCCTGTCTGCTCTTCTAAACAGATCCAGATTCAATCCTCAGCACTCACATGGCAGCTCACAACTGTCTGTGACACCAATTCCAAGGGATCTGACACCTTCACACTAATGCACATAAAATAAAATAAAATTATATATATATATATGACAGGCTTTTTAATTTTTTTTTAAAGATGTGTTATTCGTGTGTGTGTGCTTATCTGCCAGAGGGTTTTGGATTGCCTGGAACCGGAGTTATAAGCATTTGTGAACTGCCTGATATGGGTGCAGAGAACTGAATCTGGGTCCTCTGCAAGAGCAGTAAACGCTCTTAACTGCTGAACCGTCTCTCCAGCTCAATGCACTGGAGTTTTAGAAAAGTGCTTCTACTGTTTGAGGTATAAAGGCTACAAAGACAACAGTAAAGCCCAGGACACTCAGGACTGCCACTGGGGGACGGCAAGTATGGAAAACAGGAATGAGAAAGCAGCTCTATGAAATGGACACTACGTGGACTATTTCATAAGGGCCGAAGCTAGCACAAGCATTCTGGGCAAAGGAGTAGAATGCCAGCTGGCAGCAAGAGCAGCATTCAAACACAGGTTGCTTTGTCCTGTCGACACTGGGAAGAGTGCAAGCAAGGAGAGTGGAACAGGGGTCAAGAAAGGGAAGGTAGAGGACTAAGTGAAGAATGCTTAAAAGGGCAGCTGGGGTGTGCGGGCAGGAAAGGCAGGAAGGGACTCATATTACTGGAGGGTACATTATGGAATTTGAACATCGACCCATTGGAGATGGAGAATCCTAAAGACATTATTTGTTTGTTTGTTTGTTTATGAGAATCCTAGACGTACACTTATTTTGTTTATTTGAGACAGGGTTTCTCTGTGTAGCCTTGGCTGTCCTGGACTTGCTTTGTAGGCCAGGCTGGCCTTGAACTCATAGATATCCTCCTGCCTCTGCTTCCCTGAGTGCTGGGATTGCGGGAGTGTGCCGCTGCGCCTGGCTGAGACTTTGATTTTGATTTTATTTGAGACAGGGTTTTGTTCTGCAGACCAGGCTTGTCTAGAAGTCAAGAGTTTTGTTTGCCTTTGCCTCCTGAGTGCAGGGATTACAAGTGTGTCAACATTCCCAGCTATCTAAAAGATTTTAAAAGTTAGGAAATAAAAGATTAAATCACCAGCTTTTTTTTGGGGGGGGGGCTATAGCTGGGATACAAAGTGAATAAACTGTAATTAATATAAAAACATTAAAAAAATCACCAGCCTTAGCAAGGGCAGAGGCGCTTGTAGGCTCAAGGATGTGAGTTCCATCCTCAGATTGTCTAAGGTGGTAGGAGAACCAACTCCTCTGACCTCCACATGCTTGCTAGAATTCAAGTACAAAATAAAATAAATTAGGAAGGAGATTATGCTGGCTAGTTTTATGTCAACCTGACAGAAGCTAAAGCCATCTAAGAGGAGGAAACTTCAATTAAGAAGAACCTGTAGACCCAGTGCTCAGGGAGGCAGAGGCAGGAGGATCTCTGTGAGTCAGAGGCCAACCTGGTCTTAGAAATCAAGTTCCAGTATAACCAGGGCAGTTAAACAGAGAAATCCTGTTCGGGGGTGGGGGGTGGGGGGTGGGGTAGAGAAAAATGACTCCATTTAAAAGAAAAAGAAAAACTTGCTTGCATAAGATTGGGCTGTAGGCAAGCCTGTAAGGGATTTTCTTAGTGATTGATGGAGGAGGGCCCAGCTCATTATGGGTGGCACCATCTCTGGGCTTGTGGTCCTGGGTTCTATAAAAAAGCAGGATGAGCAAGCCAGTAAGTAGTAGCAACCCTTCATGGCCTCTGCATCAGCTCCTGACTCCAGCATCCTGCCGTGCATGAGTAGGAACTCTGACTTCCTTTGATGATGAACTGTGATATCAAAGTTGGTAAGCTGAAAACCCTTTCCTCAACTTGCTTTAGTCATGGTGTTTCATTGCAGCCATAAAAATCCTAAGATGGAGATTCAACGATGAACTGTGTTCCAATTTAGAATATGGCACGGGCTGCCTGTGGCTAGAAGGGGCTGGAGAAGGAAGGACTTTGTGGAAAGGCCAGCTGGGTAGGGAAGCACTCTGGGTTAAGGTTGGTGAAGCTTAAACCAGGTACTAGTGTAAGAATAAGACAGCAGAGATCGGCATAGTGGAAGACGACACATCACATCAAGTCTGAAGTTAGCCTGGGCCACACAGCAAGCCACCAAGGCCATCCAAGGTGACACAGCAAAGCTGTCTCCATAGAGTAGGAGAGAAACAGCAAGGACAGAATCAGTAGCTGGACGTGGACAGAGGTAACCCAAAGGGTTGGCCGCTGGCTGGCTGGTGGACTGTTACCATTAATTAAAACCAGAAACCTGAGAGGAAGGACTGAGGCCTTTAGTGTCAGTCCTGGGTTACCTTCCTACTGGAAGTGAGTTGAGGACTGGTAATAACTCCATTTTCCTGTTCAACCAGCCTGTGGTGCTAGAATCCCTCAGTGAACCCCGTTCTGTCTAGGCTTCATTTAATCAGCAACCATCAAGCTTTTATCATGGCCTTGGTACTGAGCAAGGCAATATAGATTTTTTGTTTGTTTGTTTGTTAAGGAGATATAAGAATCAGCTTGTCTTCTCAAGGCTTATAGTTTTACTGGAAGCAGTGAACACAAAATGAATGGTACTCAGGTTCTGCAAAGTGGGTAAGCTTACATGGGGCAGGGAGTTAGATCCTAGATAGCTAGGCCAGCCAGAAAAATGCTGCAATAATCAGCTATGAGCCGATACAGGTCAGGTGGGAGTTTTCTGTGGCAACAAGGATAGAAATGGTTGGGAATGCATGGCTTAGTCAAGGGTGTAAAGGAGGGAGCACTTCTATGTCTCAAGACCAGATGCTGAGCCCTTATCAGAATAAAAACAACAGACTTCACACAGTACAGGCTATCAGC